AAAGTCACACGATTTTCAAGAGGTTAAGCTAGATTTAAATTACTGTTCTGTCTCCACAGTGGGTGCTCTTAAACAGTTAGCTATTTTTATTCCCTTTAGGAATGATACCATGCAGAAAGATTGCTTTTATTGAATACTTTCTCTATGCCTGGTACTTTTATATATCTCACTGCTTTTCACCACCCCCCTGCCAGCTTGGTATTATTTCTTTCTCTGCACCAGAGAGATGATTTAAAAGGGGAGTTTAAGTCCTTATCCAGGTCATAATGCTAAAAATTGAGCAGAGCTGCAATTGAACCCAGGTCCACATACTCCTAGAATCACCATTCATTCTGATCAATCTTTTTCCCTGTGGTCAGTTCTTGGAATGATTCTTTAAAGTGTCTCTGGGATTTTCCCTGTTTCTTCCTTTCACGCAAACACAATGCTAGCCTGATGTTCTGATAACTCACCCCAGGAATTCTCTATGAATTTCTGCTTGGACTCATTTTCATGAGTTTCTTTCCATCTCCAATCTACCTTACAATCAGACCACTTTAAAGTCTCTTTTACTTAAAAAATGCAATGCCTATGGAGTCATAACCAAATTTCATGGCCTGGAATGTGTGGGTGTAGGGTAAATGGGAGTTGTCAGGTTTTTCCACCCTCCCACCATTAGTATCAATGATCCACACCTGTGGTCTTGCACGCGTACCTGGTGGCGGCAACTGGAGTGTGGTGTGGGCCTGTGTGAGTGGGCGCATCTGAGCCAAGAGACTGGCCATATAAGTGTGGCATCACAGACATGCAGCTGCAGAGGTCCTTGTGGCAGAATGCAGTAGAAACCAGTGGAGAGACCAGGAGGAGTAAAGATTTGCAAGGGGCTAGGAAGCCTCCCAGCCTCCTGGCCCTCTGGCCCCCTGCCTGTCCTGCACCTGATTGCCTCACTACAAATAGTGTAGAAAGATCATTAAAAGCCTGAAAAAGCCACTGAGGGCTCCAGGACTCCTTTTTTACCCATCCCCAGATCATAGAATACCTGCTCTGTGCCTTGTTGGCACTACAATGGATCTCCATATTAAATGATACACTATAGGCATCTGGGTAACTTTTAAAAATTCTGTTGTTCAGGCCACACTCACTCCAGACCCAGGCATCAATACTTCTAGATTCCCCCTAGGTGATTGCACGTGCAGTCAAGACTGAGTAGCACTGAAGTAAAACAACTGACTCCACAGTTTCATCCTTCTTTTTAATTGCTAGGGTGATCTCTTCATTGTCCTATCTACCACCTCTGCTCCCACAATTCTATCATTCCTGTTGCTGAGATTTCACTGAGGGTGAGTGCCTCACCTTCCCCTTTGATAATTCAAATCCCTCTCACCGTCAGCCCTCAGTCTATCTCCACCCACTCCAGGTAGGTTTCCTTGAACATGTTGGCTTCTGAGAAAACCCTGTCTCTAAATATGCACTTACAACAGATGATTTGGCTGAGACCTTGTAGCAGCAGGAAGGGACGGAGCAGGATCTCTATGATCCAAGCAGACTGGTAAAGGAGAGAGTCCTGGAGCCCTTGGTGGCTTTTTCAGGCTTTTATTGGGGTTTACAGGTACCCGGCAGGTGGGGATGCAGGGTGGGGGAATGCAGGCAGGGGAAGGAAGGAGGCTGGCAGGCCTCCCAACCCCTGGCGAGTCTTCACTCTTTCTGGGCTCTTCGGTGTTCTCCAGTGGCCTTTGCTTCTCTGCTCCTTTTACTCTCTTCTCTTTCGCTCTGTTGGTGTCCCCATGACCACCTTATTAGCCCAGTCTCAGCTCAGATGAATCCCATCTACACATGCCCACACCCTACTCCAGGTGCCCGCCATCAGGCATGCATTCAGGACCGAAGGGTTCCATCATCTATCCTAATGGTAGGAGGGCAGAAAAGCCTAATACTTTTTTACCTTGCCCTACAGAACTTAATATTTTTCTTGTTCTCTAATTACAAATATTTGTCTTTCCATTTACATAAAGTCTCACCATAGATATACATTTTCTGATTTCTCAGTACCTTGCATCCTTAAATATCTGACTTCTGAATCTATTTCCTCTCTAAAATTCTGTCTACCCACTCTTGTCCTAAAGCCCCAACTTCTTTGCCACTACTGTTCATTCCCTCAATAGAACCTACATTTTCACTCCTCCATGCTCTTGTCTCTATCCTTCAACCTGGCAAAATTCTACTCTATTATTTTCAAGGCTTCCTTCCCTTTCAACTCACCTATGATTCTTCCTTTGTGTAGGGTAAGGTAAAAAATCAGGCTTTTCTGCCCTCCCACCATCAGGATAGATGAGGGAACCCTGTGATCCTGAATGCATGCCTGATGGCGGGCACCTGAAGTGGGTACACCTGTGCGAAGACTGTGCTTTTAAGGGCGGCGTCACGGGGATGCCAGCAGCAGCAGAAGCCGAAAGAGAAGCCGAGAAAGAAGTAGCAGAGGCCGAGAGAGAAGCAGAGAAGGCCGGAGAGCCCAGATAGAGTGAAGACTTGCTGAGGTCTGGGAGGCCTGCCAGCCTCCTGGCCCCCCAGCACCCCTGCCTGCCATATGTCTGGTGAACCCCAACAAAAGACCTGCAAAAAACCGCTGAGGATTCTGACTCCTCCTTTACCCGGTCTGCATGGGATCAGAAAACCTGCACCGTGCCCAGTCCTGCCCCTTACACTTGGTCAAACAGAAATAATGGTGCCTCATCTCATGTTTCTATTTGTGAGGTAAGAGAATCAGTCAGGCTTTTATACCGCTGGCCTCTGTGGCTATCACCTGCGACCTTGATTGTGCTAATGCAGGAGGTGCTTAGAAGCGTGGGCCTGGGGCAGGAATGCCTGATAATGAACACCTGGAGTATGGTGTGGGCATGTGTAAGTGGGCACACCTGAGCCTGGAGGTCGAAGCTATAAAGGCAGCGTCACAGAGCGGCTGCGAGGGGATGGCTATGAGAGGACATTGAGTACAGAGAGGCAGGACCATGAACAATGACAGAGAGAGACCAAAGAGCAAAGATTTGCCCCGGGGCTGGGGGGTCGGCCAGCCTCCCCGGCCCCTGATCTCCCTGCCTTGCCAGCCTGTGGGCTTGCCCCACAGCAATTGGTATAGAAAGACTATTAAAATCTGAAAAAGTCTCTGAGGGCTCCAGGACTCTCCTTTACCCGTCTGCCCAGATTGATAGAGAACCCGCCATGTGCTTGCTGGCATGACACTTCTGTACTTTATTTATGCCAGTCATTCAGAACATACCACAATATATTAGAGTTGGTAGGCCTCAGTTGATTATAACTAAAAAGCATAGCAAATATGCATTTAATAGTGGAAAATTCAAACACTTCAGATGCTGTGTTTTCCTTATGAACCTGACAACAAAGTGCTATTGATTTGAAAGACCATCTTCATAGTTTATAACATCACTGGGAAGCTGGTCTTTGAAAAGCTGTGGCCCAGGGTGCCTGTTATTCAGCATGCATGTCATGTGTGAAAGTGTGTGCTGATTTCCTTTTACCAAAAGTTGCAAAGAGAGGAGCTGGTAGAGAGGCAATGTGTGCAAAGCATGTCCTTCTCTTTGAAGTCCAGTGCTGGTCAGAGATTGAAAAAAAAAAAAAAAACCTTTGCACTGACAGAAAGGGGAAAATGTGAAAGCATAATTCCTTAAGTAGCCCATGTAATAAGTTTTCTTTTTAATTCCAGATTCAAAACAACCTTGCAATAGTCCATTTTAAAAAGTCACCAAGAGAAGCTGTGACAAATAACAATTCCACGGCCAGGAGGATCTTATCAATAAGGGACTCCAGAGGCCTCCACTGGAAAAAAAAATACACTTTTTATAAAGCACTAAGAAGTTAATTGTGTATTTCAAAGTCAAATTGAGGCATAGTTGCTTCTATAAAAGTCTCTGAGCTGACTTTTTTAATCTTGAAATTGCCATTCCCCCATCTCTATACAAACACATTATAATAAGGATAATAAGTAGAGAGAATAAAACACATAGCATGAGGCTATAATTCTGTTGAGAATCTCTTGATCAGGAATTCAACAGTACATAAAATGGCACCCAATCATTTCCCTTTCGTAACTAAAAAGTCATTTTCCAGTTTCTTTTTTAAAGTCTCCTTAAAAGAGCTCAGACTGACTCCCAAGTTGCTCTCAAGTTCCCACTTTAACAAGCAACACTAATGAACTAACATACAGATTTCAGGAAAGATTTTAGATCACATTCCTCTCTCAGCATATCTTTCCATCAATTTAGTCCACATTCACAACAACCCATGTTTTGTGTAAATAAGCATTTCATACTGTGTGATGTCATGACATACTTCTTCAGCTCTAATCAACTCATTCCCAGGCTGACAACTCTTTAATGACCAAGATGCAAGCATGTGAACTGAGGTAATTTGATTGCAGTGGGCTGGGAAGATGAGAGGTGGAGGAAGGGGATTCCTGGAAGAGGTGTACTTTGGATTTGTTTTGGAAAATGAGTATATTTGGGGTATCTGGAGAAAAGCACTGATTCTGGATAAGTGGGGTGACATGTGTAAAATCTCACCAGCAGTATGACAAGTACAGTTGGTTCCCTGCTACTATGGGTTGAATCATATCCCAAATTCATATGTTGAAGTCCTAACCCCCATCCTCAGAATATGATTGTAGCTAAAGACTTTAAACAGGTGATTAAGTTAAACAAGGCTGCTAGGGTAGGCCCTATTGCAATCGGACTGATGTCCTTATGGGAAGAGAAGGTTTGGACACACACACTAGAGATGTGTACATGCAGAAGAAAGCCCATGTGAACACGCAAGAAGAAAATGGCCACCTGAAGATAAAAAGAGAGGTTTCAAAAGAGATCAGCACCATTGGCACATGGTTCATGAATTTACCATGAGAAAATTAATTTGTGTTGATTAAGCCACAAAGTTTCTGGTTTTTGTTATAGTGGCCCTAGCAAACTAATATACCTCTCAAATAGCCACTTCTTCCTCCCTTCTCCTACCAGGCAGAGTCCACCTCCACCACAGCCTCTTAAGGATACAGCATTTGCAGCTAAGCCATGGACAACAGAACTCAACCTGCCACTGAAGGGAGAGTCTACTGAGGAAATCTGGGAAAGTCATTCCATCACAAACAAGGAGAGACATACCAGAGAAACTTCTAGTCGGGACACTGCTCTGAAAGGACATGTCCCTGGAGGTGTGGCAGTCATTTTGTACCATGAAATGCTCCAGCACTGTTGACAACATTGAGCCAGAGATTCAACTCTGTAACTGCTATCCTTAGACTTTTTGTCAATTGAGACAATTATTCCCATCATGGAAGTCTATTTTAATTGTTGGGTCCGGTGAGAAGAGTGTTCCTGCTAATGGAAAAGATTCTTTCAGTGAAACCAAGTAGACCTGGGTTTTAGAAAGAGAGCTTTGAAGGTTTTGTCGAATGTAAGATAGGAATGTGGGGAGAAAAAAAATAATTAAAAAGAAATTCTGCGTCTCTATACTAGGAGCTCATGAAAATGGGAATACTATAAAGAGTAGAGTAATTTTCTCATTGCAATGGGAGAACCTGTTAGTTTTCTAAGTTCATTTCTCTGAGTTTACTTTGTGACTCAATGAGGGCTTAGCCTGCTAAAGAAGAGTTTGTTCTCTAAAACTGCTGAGAGTGCAACTGGGTGTGGAGTGACAACTGAAAAGAGATTTGAAAGAGAATCCTGCCAATGGACCAAGTGGATGATAATACATGCTGTTACAGTGGATCTAGCCACCCTTCACAACTGACCTTTGCAGCACAGAAATCAGTGCCTGAAATATATTCATATGGACACACGCTATCTGCTGTCGATTTTACAATAATTCAAGTGAAATTCTTTTGAGCTGTAAAAGTCTTGTGACCTGTGTGTCAATACAACTTCTGCATTGACAGTGTGCAACATGACATCTGACCCCAAATCTATCACTGATCAAATGATCTCAAATAAGTCACTTAACTTCGCTGGACCTCAATGGTTTCAACAATTGAAGGATGTTTGAAGAGAGACACTAGTTTATTTTTAAAGCAGTGGAATATTTTGTCGAGATAAATCACATCCAATCTTCTAATATATAATAATAAATCACAATTATTGCATACTTGTGCCAGCCTTGTGCTAAGCACTGCAGGTGGTTTACCTCATTATTTCACTTTCAGCACTATGAGGCCAGAGTCTTACTGTTATTTCGATTTTACTTAGGAATGGAGAAGTTAAGAAACTTGCCCAAGGGCACATAGATGATAGAATTTGACTTTCCAGTCTTAGCTCTTAAAGTTCAGGTTAAATGGAAGTCCTGTTTGCCGTGTGTGTGTGTGCATATGTGTGTGTTGGGGAAGGGAACATGTAAGTTGTTAATATGACAGAGTCCAGAAAACCTGAGGTAGCACTCTCCAGGGACTCAGGGAATAACAGAATAAAAAAACACCATTCCATGTGATGTTCAAAGAAGGAATCTATTAACAGAGTAAGTAGAGGGAAATAAATTACAATTTGAAAATAAAACAGCATATTGCCCCATTGTTTTGAATTGCTTTTAGCTAGACTTTTATTTATTTTAAATTTTAATTGATATCAATGATCATATGAAGATAACACATTCATATATAAATAAGCAAAGAATCCAAAAATTTTTGAGAAACACAGATTAGATAGCTCTTCAGATCTATGAATTTTAATTTCCCTGGTTCTGTAATCTGCTTAGTTTCTGTTCATTTCACCACATATATTCAACTTTCTAAACCTATATCAGGTGAGGCTGGACATGTCCCTACTTTAGATCAGCCATTAAAAGATGGGACTCATGTGACAGTACAACCACTGGTTTCCGCTAAGGTAATAATCATTATAAGAGCTAACATCTATTGTGCCCTTATTATGTGCCAGAACCTACAATAAAGATTTGTATCTACATAAACTGGATTTAATCCTCATACAATTTCAAACATCTATTATGTGTTAAGGAGCTTCTCTCCAGGAGGCCTTTTCTGAACTCCTGGCCTAAGAGAAGTAGCTCTCCTGGGAGTTCTCGTTATATCCAGTATATATCACTAACAAAGCACATAGCTAATAATATCAATTTATGTGACTCTTATCTGCTTCCCTGAATAAAGTATAAGCCCTTGGAGGGCAGGAACATTGTTGTAAGATCCATGTGTCTCTAACATTAGGATTGGCCCAGGACAGGCATTCAAGAAATGCCTGGTTTCATACTTGCAGGAAGACATTTTAGTGCATTTCACAAATGCTTCCTTAGCCCATCTCTTCTAGACTACCTCCAGGATAGAGGCTGGAAAAAAATTAGGTAATTTTCCAGTTTTCCGGAAAGATTCTGGGGAAGATATTCCTTTTCCTGACACTATAAAGTTGTTTGACAAGAAAGTTGTATGAGGCTATGAAGCTTAGAACTGCTGCATCCAATCTGTGGTGAGAGAATTACCAAGAGACTCTCAGGATCTCAGCACCAGTTCCTTGATGTCTTTGAGCCAATGAACCTTTCCTAGAATCATTTAGCCCAAAGACTACCTGCAGTGTGAGAAAAATAGACTCCCTTTGGCAAAAACCACTGAGAGTTTCTGTTACTCAAGGCATTCCTACTTATATGTAAACATTTTGAAATCAATAAAATGTGGTGCTTCATCTTAAAAAATGAAAGAACCCGTAGATATAGGTTGTCAGTGTCAATACAGGACAGCAGATTGAATACAGGGCTTTTTTAAGATCAGTAATTTTTAGTATAAGTATATTCACTCAATATTTGGGACACACTTATATTAAAAATACTTATGATTTATTGGAAATTAAAATATAAGTGTGTGTCCCATATTTTCATTTGCTAAACCTGGAAATTCTTCAGGGATAGTAATAAGCAGCTTCTAAGAGAAGCAGAAGAGATATTTAAATCATAGGAGAATCTTCTGATTAGCAAACAAAACCACTCCCAGGATGAGATAACAGCAATAATAACAACTTAGATGATACGATCCTTCACAGTTTTCAGAGAACTTTCATACACATTACTCATACAGTTAATAGTTGCTGTTTTCATTATAGAAAAACACTTGATCCTAATGAGTTACTTGCCGAAGGTGGCTCAGTTGGCATTAAAGGAGCTGAGACCTGAACTCTTATCTCCATATTTCTGTTTCAGTGTTGTTTCGTTATTCAAAAAAGTCTCAGACTTTAACTTACATCAGAATTACCTGGGGGCTTGTTAAAACACAGATGGAAGGATCTTAACACAGTATTACATCAGGGGAAGAGCCCAAGAATTGTCATTTCCAGTAAGTTTCCAGGTGATTCTGATGCTGCAAATACTAATTCCACACTTCTTGGAAACCACTGTCTCATACTCTACCTTTCCTAGCAAGATAGAATTGAAACCACTGAGGCTAGATGTTTAAATTGCTTTCAGACCCTCAAGCACACAAGGGAAAAAAAAAAAAAAAACCTCTTCTTTAAGACTTGCTTTTACAGGCACTACAGAGCCCAGAGGCATATTGACTAAACTTAAGCTGAGCTCCAACAACTGGAGCTGGGAGACACAAACACAGAGGAGGTGACCCTCCAGAGGTGAGGGGCCCACTGACAGAAATTCAAAACTCCAGTTATCTGAAGAAAGTCTCTTCATATTCCTCATGTATAAACGTCCCTGTAACTAGTCACTGAACTTCAGCCAAGTACATACTTTTGCCCAACTCATTTCTCAGCCAAAAAAAAAAAAAAAAAAAAAAAAAAGTACCTCCTTTGTTTTCAACCCAGGTTCCCAAACTCATATATCCTTACTCCATTTCCTAACTGAGGAGGCAGATTTAAGTTTATCTCCTGTCTCCCTGTGAATGGATTTGCCATAAAGCTGACTTCTTGATAAACCTGATCTCATAATCTGAACTACACATGTCAGATAGAGACCCAATTACTCTGTAACAGAATCAACACCTTCCCTCTATCCAAGAAGAGAAAATCCTATATGGTATAGCAAAACCAATGATGGCATATTAATTGCAAAGAAAAATAAGCCCCCTTTTCTTTGACTTGTATCATCTGGCACTCAAATTAAATGCATACATGGGGAAGCGTGTTAAAATGTTCATGGGCTGTATTCCTCGCATTCTACTCTCGTGAACACACTGGTTTCTATTCATGGGCACAGATGCTGCCCAAGCAAGCGGGAGGTTTTATTAAGGCGTGGGAGGTGGGAGTGGGGTTTGAATGTGTGCGTGTGCGTGTGTGTGTGTGTGTGTATGCGCACACGGCATTTCTGGAGGCAAGGCTACAAGAAATGCAAGGGTCACTACGAAACTGCTCAGGGCCCAGAAGTTAAAGTCCCCACTGCACTATCTCTCACATCATGTTTGGGTGAGAGCATGTAACTTGACCTTTTGGATGACAGGCCAAAAGATGTTCTTCCTTTCTCCAGAGATAATGACATTCTCCCTCTTTCCTCCTTTTCTTCTCTCCTTCTTACTCCCACAGCAGCCACCCACCAGCCAGGAAGATAAAATAGAAATGGAGAGGAGAGGCCAATTGTAAAGCAGTCAAGTGTGGCTGCCACACAGCAGGCGTGAGGAGTAAGAAGGGGGACGTGGAAAAAAGAAAGAGCTATTTATTCTCCGAGTCTCTCAGTGCTAATTTCACTGTCTGCATAAACAGTAGCTGAGAACATTAAAAACAAATACAATTAGACTACAAACATGGTTCATATTCTTGGGGCCTCCCTCCAGGGGTGAGTCCCGAGAGTCTTTTAAGGACCTGCAACTCTTCCCCGCCAGCCTGGACTCTCCAGTCAGTAGGTGGACCCGGCCCCTCCCTGCATCCGGGTCAGCAACTTCCTCTTCTTGTATCGCCAACTTTCTTCTTAGGTTCTAAAACTATAGTAATTTGTTTCATTTTTTAATTTTCATTAACAGTAGTGTTGCAGAAAACTACAAAGAAAAATATAAGAAGATACACTCATAGTCCTATGATACCAATTTTGGTTTATCTCTTAGTTTTATCTCTTCCAGGTTTTAATATTGTGTTTATGTTTTCACTGACTTAAATGACATAATGTGTGTCTGTGCGTGTGTGTGTAGTCAGATAGAGTCAAACATCTTTTTCCTTTCCCATTATGCTTCTCTGGCTAGGATGATGAATTTTGATTCCTCATATTTCATTTAAAAAAAATTACATAAACATGCATCATAAAATATCTAATATATTGTTCTTTGTTTACATAAATGATTCATACTGAGTGTTTGTTCTCCTTGTTCTCAACATAATGTTCTCGAGATCTAAATGGTTGATTTAGATTAACTGCTCATGTCATTTACCCATTCCTCTACAAATGGGCATTTACATTGTTTTCAATTCTCGTAACTTTTTCTTTAAAGATTTATTTATTTATAGACACAAGAACTGGGGTACAGGCCAGAGGTACAGGGGGTGAGAGGATTCACCAGAGACAGAGCAAGGAACAGACAGAAGAAATACACTGCTGAGGGGAGCAGTGGGTGAGCCAGGAGAGGTCTGCTGTGCCATGTGGGTAGCTCCCTGGCTGGGGATCAAACTCATGCTGCAGTGGCTGCCGATAGCTTCACAGGGCTGTGCTTAACCCCTTGCACCACCAAGGAGGCCCAATTTTGTTAACTCTTACAGACAATGGTGCCATTTCTCTTACATGCACACATACCCTTGAGTTCTATTGAATATTTCACAGAAGTGAAATTACTGAGACCTTGAATTTTTTAGATGCTATCAATGTGTCTTGAAAGTGAGTATGTCAAATGACATTCCCAAGAACAAGAACAATGCAGAAGAGTACCATGTCACTCACATTGTAACAACTCCTGATACTATCTCCCCATGTTATCTGACTTTTAAATTTTGCTAGCCCCAGATTACAGTAAAGGGTTCCTTGTGATTGTGTTTTTGTGCTTTAGTTTCCTTCTCTGTGGATCACTTGTTTACATCCTCTGCCCATTTTTCTACAGTTATTTTTTTGTCTATTCACTTATAGGAATTCTTCTATAAGTGAAGAATTCTTCAATTATTCTGATCTATAATAATTCATGTGTTTGATATGCAAATATTTTCTCCCT